ACTTCTATCGGTAAAGTTTCTTCGGAAAGAATTTTTACGGAAAATTAACTAACGAACGGAGACGTAACAGTTCATAAAATAAAAAATATGAACTAATTACACGTGTTTGTATTTGTGTATATTTGTACGTGTTTTGTATGCTTCAGATTCATTTACAGCTTTGCGAACTCTCAAATATGCGTTAACGGGCTTGACTTTATTTGTAAATCCACTTTTCAGGCCAATAACCGATAAAACAATAGCAACGCAACTAATATATATAAATAAAAATATAAATTCATTTATAACAGCAGTCAGTTGTATACTTCAAAAATTTAGCTTTTTAACATCTCCCTATCGATAATAAATAAGTCAAACAGCAGTCATAAAGTTACAAAGTTAAGAAAGTTCAAAACTAAAAATTCAATTAATTTTCATAAGACTCGACTCTCTTAAGTGTTCCAAAGTACTGACGTTTAAAATGAAAAAGTAAACATATAATTGTATTTATATATAAGTGACAAAATATTTAATTTTTTTATACACTAGATATACATTAAAAGGAGATAAATAAAATCAGACGTGTTCACAGTTTATAGAAACTTTTAATGTCAATTGTTAACACTGATAATAAGGACAAACATGAGTTATCATTTTATAAGCAGATTCTAAAAGTAAAAGTTATGTCTCAACCAGAGTAAATTTGCTCGTGTAAAATAGGCTTAAAGCAAAATAACTACTTTTTTACGATCATTGTGGTTATATTCCAACAGACACTGACTGGAAATACTGCTTGATCTTCGGCAAGAGTGAAATTCACAGAAATCCTTGAAAATGTTCAATCTTTTCCATGGTTTCCAAGGCAACAAGCGGCAATCATCAGTTGCATCTCGGTACTTACTCACGCTCCCTAAAACGTCGTGTACAAAGTTGACCTTGCGTCTACACAGTTTCACTGTCGAAATCTACGGGCTTCACGAAAATGGGTTAAGGCACGACCGTGACGTAAGAGAATCAGAAACTTTTCAATGGCTTTTACCGATCATGAGAAGAACGCCTCCTTTGAAAAGAGTATATAAGACGAAGAGGTAGAATGTTTTGACAACTGAGATCCTACCATCAGCAGAACACACTTTCTGTATATCTGCTGTGGCCATTACTTTCTGCAGAATGTTTCGATTGGTGAGATTGTTAGATTAATTTAGAAACTTTATGATAACTATGAATCGGTGAAAATGATTTTATGTAAAATTGGTTTGTGGATTTAATATAAAAGAAGGTATCACAATGCCATTGTTTTTAGGACATATCAGCGATATACTTTAGATACTTTTATCGGGTATTTTTTCTCCTTAACAACTCTTTCTGTTTCTGTATAAAAGATTAAGGTATATAACAATTTTACTTCTATAACCAAAATGAGAAATCCGTTATACAGATATGACAAAACATATAATATATATGACGCCTCCAAAGCTATCTAAAATTGTAAATCAGATTAGTTATGCGAAATGTAGGGTTTTTTTTAGTCTAATATTTTGTTTATAGATTACATGTTGCTAGTTCTCGTATTTAAATAACTAAAACAATGTATTGAGCTATTGTAATTTTCTGTGTTTCTAAATAGACAATTCTCGCTTGTATCTGTGTGGCGACCCTAGCACAGAATTATTATTCTTCTGGACAACATTATAATTCAGCTTCTAGACCTCGACAGGACAACAGTGGTGTCAACGACTACTTTCAACAGTTGAAAGACCACCAGCTTCAACTGAAACAACACCAACAGGACGTTCAACGTCACCTACAGCAGCAACATGGGTTTGGTGGGACCCCACAGTCGGAAAGGTCCCAACATCAGCAATACACTCCTTCAGTTTATTCTACTGGTCAACAGCAACAGCAGTCTCCTCTCTCAACTTATTCTGTTGGCCAACAGCAACAGACACCTTCCATCGTTCAACACCAGGAAGCGCAAAAACGTGCACTGATCGCCAGACAGGAACAACAGACCCAGGCCATTTTGGAGGCACAGAAGTACGATCAGAACCGACCCGTCAACTATCACCCTCCCGCTCCTGTACACCGGGTGAATATCGGCTCTCAGCTACAAGGCGACTACGACTTCACCTATGACACCGGAAAGGGGCCTCTTGGTCAAAGCTTTCGCACAGAAACCCGTCTTACGGACGGGACGGTGAAAGGTAGCTATGGTTATCTAGACACAGATGGACGCCAGAGGATCGTCAATTACATTGCTGGGAAAGCAGGCTTCGTTGCCGAAGGTGACGTTGGCCCAGAGGGTTTACCATCAGGGACTGCGCCCGGACCAGCTCCCGAACCCGTGTCTCAGCATCAGCAGACTTACGTTCCCCGGGCTCAACAGCATTATCGTCCACAACAGCAGCATCCAAGCGCAGGTTACCAAGGTAACCAAAGTCCAGCAATTTTTGATACCTCCCTTTTATCTTATAATATTGGAATTAGCAACCGAAACTAAAAGATAAGATTTTAAATTCTGTTCTGCGTTTTGGAAGATCACTGTAGACTCATCCCATTATGTTTCGTTTCTACTTATTTTCATCTCATAAAGATAACGTTAGATATAAAAGTGAGAATTTGATTACCTGCAGATTAGGAGTAAACTAAATGTTAGAGCCAACATCTCCAATTGTTTATATTTTTAGTACCATGTGAACAAATATACCATCAAATAAATCCATAAACATGATATTTGCGTTTATAATCGGACATTACTTTTACATACTTGTATATATATATATATATATATATATCCATATACTCGTTTTCTTGTGGTCTAATATATGTTCCCTTTTTGTTGATTTTTTACGTTTTTTTAATCAGATTGACCAAACTTATTTCAAAAATGTTTTATTGAATTCTTGACAATTCACGTGAGTTATAAAATCTTTGTTTACTGCCCTAACGAACTAATATGTATTATTCTAATGAATATGTTCAGTAACTTATCAAGTGGTTGTAAAATCTGCCTTTTTCTCTTGCTTTCTCTGGTGAATCAGTGTATTTAACTATGTTCAAAGTAATAAACGATATGAAATTTTCGACGGTTTTACATAATTCTTTGTATATACAAGATAAAATATGGATAACAAAATGTATACAAAACATACAGAGGGTAGAAATAAGTAAATTTTATAAAAGTTAAGAATACAGTTTAATAAAATAAATATATCAAAACAACGAGAGCTGAAAGGAACTGAAGTTATTATTTAGGCTTAGATGTTGGTTTGAGATACATATACTTTATTTGATCAGAATCTCATAGTTTGATAATCCTGATGCTAAAATTTTTAAGTTATCAATACATAAAGGGTGTTTACTAATTTGACAGTGTGTGTTAGTGGGGAAAGTCCATAGTCTTCGAAGTGGCAACGGTTTATATTCGAAACTCCTATATGTTCATAGACATTTCATTTTTAATTGGTGTATTGTTTTGCCAATATAGGTGGCTTTAGATTCACCAAACATGAAATATTTATAAATCGATTTTTTTTTTCTGTGACATGGAAAAACATTACTATATGGTGTTTAATTTGTCAAACTGTAAAAGAGAAAATGATCCAAACATATAGAAATGTACTGTAGAATCATATATCATATCTACATCAAAGTTCACAGTGATGAATGTCCACACATTAAGACTTGATGAAGAAATGCCGTCTTGGAAATTAGGAAGAAGGACGGAGGAACATGCCAACACACTGCCTGAACTTTTCTTTAAACGAAAATATTCAAACCTAACTTCGTCAACAATAACTGTTGGAGAATAACCTGGCGTAGCCTATTCGTTAGTGCCTATAATGTAAATACAAGTGTTCGTGGCTCAGGACTCGTTGACTTCAAAAAAGTACTTCGCATTTTAGAGATGTGGGTGCGCTATAAGAGAAAATATAAAATCGAAATATTTAATCAGGCAAGATTAGCCTAAAAGACTGCAGAGAGCGCTGTTGACTTTAATAGCTAGCTGCCTCCCCTTTAGTGTGTCAGTTCAGAATTAGAGTAAGTTATGAGCAGATTATCCATCTGTAGCTTTGCAAGGAATTTTCAAACACAACAATTATGTTTGGTGGGCATTTATAATAAAGTACTGTATGTGTAGATAAAACTTTTAAAAATCAGAATGAAAACTTTTACGTAATGTACTTAGAAAGTTTTCACTTCGGTTTTGAGCGTTACAAGTCTTCAGACATACCGCTAAGTTAATTAGAGCAAAGTACTTTGAACCAGGTGATGGGCACCATACAGTAAGCTTATTGCAATGGCACCAACTGGGAGGAATAGGACTAAGACAGCTATCACACCCAAACCCTATTATTTCCTTTTTTTTTTTTTGTTCCTCATAACCATCTGGCTCCAGTGTACTTATTACAGTTGACGCATGAACTTCAAAACATGCTACGTCATCAATGGTTCATGTATTTTACAGAAATTGGAGTTCCTTTTTATCCCTCCCCCAAGATTTTCCTGAAATGGCGCCACTTGCCATTGTGCTTAACAAAAGAGAACAATCAATCAAACAGTTAAAGTTTGTTTGTTATGGATTTCGCGCATAGCTACACGAGAGCTATCTGCGCT